AATATTTTCCCCTTTTTAAGGAAAAAAAGAATTATTTATTTCTTTTTTGTTTTGTAGAACTTCACCGATACCATTGAGGAGATCGAAGCCAGGTTGGAATCATTCTTTCCAGAATGCCTGGCTGCCTTGATCGAGGTTATGTGTGAACATCTAGGTAACCGAAGAGCCAGGCATCCTGGAAAGAATGATTCCAACCTTGCTTCGATCTCCTCAATAGTATCGATGAAGTTTTACACAACAAAAAAGAAATGAATAATTCTTTTTTATTTCCTAAAAAGGGAAAAATATTAACCAGGTACATACCTACATATTCATCCAGATGCTCCATTAGATTTCGACCATACTGTAAAAAAACGATCGCATCAAAAGTATATTTGGTTGAACCCTTTAGACTTTTTGGATCTATCGATTTTACCAATACTTCTCTATATCCAACAATGGCAACATTTCGAACAATCCATAGGACATGTGGCAATCAACACATATTCAAACGCGCACTGACTTAATTGTACATTTTAACTCTCAATCGCTTAATTTCCAAAAATGTGTTGGCGGAACACAGCCTTTTCTCTTGCTGATGTGAGCTCATGGTGTGAATTACACGTATAAAAATACCAATGGAGTATAAATAATTAAAATATATGATTAAAATTTTTGAAGGCAACTATAGTAGTGGAGAGTGAATTTGCAAACTTAAAAAAGAAAAAATCCAAAATTTAATTAAACATTTACCATAGTCTACATCCAGCAGGTATGGTGGCACAAGAGGTTTCAAGCTTGCCATCAGATGTTGCATACCAGCACCTGTCTGAGCTTGTCTCGCGAATATAAAGTTGGAATTGGATGAGAACCCCTAGTTGGAATCCAAAGAGGATCCAAAGTTGAAATTCATTGTAAACTTGAATTGAAAGAGATATTGAAGAGGGCAAAGATGAAGGTGTGTGATTTATAGCCCAATATCCACCCTATTTATAGACATTGGAAGCTGAAGATAAGAAGTGTCACGTAGATAAGAATCCTATCTAAAATTCACACAACCAATTACATCTCGACACGTCGCACTCGAAATCCTATCCAAAAAATTATTGAGATTGCATATCGACAAGAAATCTGGAGAGTTGCTCATATATCGACACGTGGCACTTGAAATCCTATCCGATAAATTATTGAGATTACATATCGACAAGAAATCTGGATAAGAAGGGTGTATTTATAACAGTCAGACAAGAAATAAAAGATACCAAACATCAAATATATAGAGTTGAGTTATACCTGCTAAGGCTAGAGACAGACAAGCCCCGATCCAATGCTTCTCTACAAACATGTGAGCCAACAAATCCATTTCCACCCAAGACAAGAAACTGAATTACGAAGCTTAGAAGTCAAAAAATATAATACTGCATCGTAGAGATGAAGACAATAAAATTATATGATGAAATAACAGTTTCAAATCTCCAATGCTCTTAGCAACAATATTGTACCTTATCAGTTGGAGGAGGGGGAATGTTGACAGTCTCAGCTTCTTCAACTTTGAAGGGTTCATCAACCTTATTAGAGTCTGTTGTTGGATACCTACCATTCTTCAGTGCATCCGATACACTGCTTTTACAGAAATCAGAAAGTAAGGAAAACCCGATTCTCGTCTTACTATCATTGTTAGAACCCTACTGGATTCCGGAACCAAAAAGTAAACCAAATACAAAAAAAGTACATAATTTTTTTTTTAAACATTATTATTTTCATTTTCAACCACAAATTCAACAACGCAGAACAACGCACGGCTTTATATAATCCGAAAACAGTTTAACATATTCATAAACCCAGATGATACAATTTTGTTGTATAGAACCCGAAATACAGAACTTGAAAACGAAACCTAATAAACTAAGATACCAATAAATCAATTTTGGGTTTTGCATTATTTTCCCCAATTCCCACTCTTTCTCAGCAGCCAACCAATGCATTGCATAATATTCCAGAAACAAAAACAAAAATCCCAGAAGAATCACATTCAAAACCTTAAATTAGCAGTGCAGGTATGTGAAATTAAGTATCAATTACACAAAATTAAAAGCCAAAATTGAAAATGGACGGCATACAAGAGCCTTGGAAGTGATGATCTTGATTGGATCAACCACGACACGACCGTCCTCATTTTTTTCAAATTTTCCTCTTCAGAATCCCTCCTTTTTCTAGGGTTTCTTAAGTTTTGGTTCTTCGATTTGCTTTCACGGAGAGTACCGGAGCACAGATAATCGGAAAGTCTAGCTTCTTCTTTCTAGACAACTCGTTTGGTATACACACAGAGAGAGTTTGAGAGAGAACAGATGGTGCATAATGGTGGTGACATGTGGTTCCTTGAAGGCCAAGGGGAACTGCTCATAAGCGAGTCTACCGTGTAGAGACTCGCACCGAGCTTTGTGTTTCGAGTAGTGCTTGAATTACCACTATTTGTACTTGTACCAGATCTAATAGAGGTATAACCCACAAACGTATATTTCATAATTAATATAAAGATGGTATAAATAAATGATAAGAATATCATTTGTTGTGTTTCACATTCACATGGCGTTATTTTTCCTTTATTCATTAGAGCTTGGTCTACAAAAAATATCCAAACACCAGGTTTATTAAATGAGGCACTATCTGACTATCGATGGACCAAGGTAATGGAAAAATAAGTAGATGGTATCACGGTCTAGTGATATTGCTATTCACTTGTAAATGAGAAGTTATAGGTTCAATTATCGTCAAAGGAATCTGAACCATATTATTGGTAGCCTATTATGATGCTAAGTCATTCTCATCTATTTTAATGTTAATAACATCGTTTGTTCAAAAAAAATAAAATAAAACTAACTAACTTCATGAGTTTTCAAATGTGGGACATGCTAAAGTGGGACCACTCAAAAGACATTTATTCGTGGTGGAGTGCTTTGAATAGGATATGACTAGAAGATTTAACTTCATAGGTTTATTTCTGATGCGAGACATACTTCAACATGGTCTAGACTCTATGTGGTGCTGGTGCGGGCTATTCAACCAAGACACAATGGATGGGACCAAGAGCGGATGGTGAGGCATGTATGAGGGGAAGATAAGTAAAAATGTTCGGCTAGACAAGAATGACTTATATATAATGTATTTACTGGTTCAAAAAATAATAACGTTGTTATTTTGTGGATCGAAAACTCACGTGATAATAACCCACTCATACCTATGCAATAGAGTGATCACAGGTGGGAAGTTTTGTGAGTGTTGAATGGCTTTGTTGGTCCCTCCAGGTTTGACCTATTCCCTTTCCTCGTCAGTCGTCATAGGAACTGATGTTGTACAAAAGGTCGAAATCCAGAACATCTTTCAGGATATGTTTGGATTAGGGTTTTACAAGATTCAAGAGATTGATGTCAAGTTACGAGGAAGTAAACCATAAAATGTGAAATGAAGGAAACAAGAGAAACCCTCCATAAACATTACAAAAGTATATGGTAAGCCCTGTTTAGAGTTCAAGATATACAGGCCCACACACAAATCCTCTTAAGTTAGACTCACAAATATGATGTTTTACTCCGTAGTAGCCAATCATCGTACGTTGCCAGTTCAAAGTTTGCAGTGAAAACACAAGATCCTGATGGTGTACTTTTTCTAGCAAAAAAGGAGAGGATGCAAACACGGAGACTTTCAAGAGTCAAGGTGGTGGGAAGTGGACAAATGGCCGGCATGTCCAAATGATTGATTCTCGTGGAATACCAAGGGAAATGTTTCAAAAGATTATCCGTTACCTTATCGTTTAAACTATTACTTTACAGTTTAACGTTAAATCTTTTACTAATACTATAGAAAATTGTGCTCGAAACATGAGTTGAAATAGAATCTATAAAGAGTCGCGGTATTAAAAGAGACTCATTAACATCTCTTAATTCTCACCTATGTCGATGTATTTGATCGAGCATTTTCAAGTCAGTTTACAGTGGGGACATGAAATCAAGGGAAATAAAAATGTTAGTTATGTGTTTCACTTGAATGCTTCACTTCGCTAAATCGCGGAGAGAAGTCTCGGTGTATCAATAACAGGCATGGGAAACTGCCCGAAGAACCCTTCTCATCCCTGACGTTTCTTACAACTCCTATCTTCTGCATATTAGGTTAAAATTCAAAAAACACTCGAAGGGAAGAAAGAACTCAAGTACCCGAGAATCTCCTACTTGGAACGTGCAGCATTCTCCACTCAAGCAGAAAATGCACTTTTAACTATTAACTACACCCAAGCTTGAAAGTTGTATGCTTATCGATTTCCTTTAACGTTATGTTGCAGATAAATTATAATATGAACGGGTTAGATAAAATAATCAGCATATTACTGTTTACGCTACCGGCCAAATCCAACGCTACAGTGCCTTGAATAAAGAAAGAATGTTTGCACATCTGAATCGGCAAATTGCATAAAACTACATACGCAACCATACCAAGTGAGTTGAAATTGATTAAATACAACAGTGCTAATGAAATTAAGTTGCTACTACAGTTATAAGAGTTGATCGATCGAGATAAAAGAGTAGAATACCCATTGCTAAGTAATACATCTATTGTTCTCAGAGCCAGCGCATTCAGAGATGATTTTTAGTTCCATGCCATGCCCAGAAACCGTGTCCCCATGACACTGCATTACCAAATCTGCTACCAGAAAACTTGTATGTTAGTCAATGCAGTTTATGTAATTTCATTTTAGTGTGTTTTTTTTTATAGTTTATTTGATGAGTATGTAATTTTATTTTAGTGTGTTTTTTTTAAGTTTATTTGAAATTTTATCTGAAATTGATTAAAAATCTTATCTGAAATAAACTTAAAAAAAAAACATACCAAATAAATGCGCTGGGTGCCAGCGCAATTTTTCAAGGATGAAGATGTTTTGGCCTATTACTGTTCACTTCAGTCTATTACTGTTTACTTAATTACTTGGATAAATACATGCGCAAAGTCCTTGGGTGGACTTGCTCTTAACCCTAGCACACCCCTCCAGATTTATAAACCCCAACCAAATGCAGCCGCGCCTCTCCTCCGAACGTAAAACCGCACGCCTAAATTTTTTTTTCTTTCCATCTTCTCTGCCGCTGCCTCTTTCTCCCCGTTCTCTCGCAACCTTCCCCCTCATCCTCTCCCGTAGCCTCTGTTTTCTCTTCCCCACGGAGTGGAACTCAAAGCTTTGCATTTCCAGGTTCCAGGTTCGATCTTGCTCTCTGTAGATCTTTGATTTTGTGTTTGGGTTTTACTTTTTTGTTTTCTTGATTTTTCCATGGAAAATTTCAATTTTCCAGGAGAAAGTTCCGAACACTGCTGCTAGTGGGGATGGAAGCAGTAATGGAACATTATTTAGAGCTGTTCTGTTAGTTCGAAGAGGAAAGGTACACTTTACTTTTTCCATCATCTACATTTAGATAATGTAAAATATAATTATACTGATAGATTCTACTTTATGGCATTTCAAAAAAGTTATATATCACCATTTTAAGATCATGAAACATCCATTTGACTGTTTTTCTAATATTTATCAAACCTAACATGAGTAAGAATATATGTTAATCAGCAAGGATCAGCTTAATATTAAAACCATTTGAAGCATTTATGTTTTTCATTAACAAATAGGCATCAATACACTGTATTTGCGTTTAAAAACCACTTATTTGAATGAGACAGAATGCCTCTTTGTTCATTGTGGAAAGTGATTATTGAGAATTTCAAAGTTCACATTTTGTTATACAATCAATTCAGCTTCTTAGTTTTTATATTATCTGTGTACATAATACATATATATATGTTATATTAATTGTAGAAGAGAAATTTTTTGAAGTTCTCATTGTAGCTAAAGGATATAATAAGTGGCAACCAGTAAGGCTGCCCGAACACTTTGGGAACGTTCTTTGGTTTTTAATTGTATTTGACCTATTCTATTTTGTTTTCTGTTGTTTCCGGGCACAGTGTGATGAAGCGCGTGAGTATGTTGAGAGAGCTAGGAAATGCTTGGCAACAGAGCTTGCTGCTTTGGTGAGTCTTCTCTATATTTTTTCATTATATTATGAGTTCATGTGATTGAGTTTCACATGATGGGGTTGAAGCATTCAGTTGGGATTTAGAAATAATGACCATATTGATTTCAATGCTAATATATTTTCTATGTCTGAATGGTTCTGTATGAGTGTGTGAAACTAAATTTACTTAATCCAAAGTAAAGGTTTGTGGGGTTCTGAGCTTTACAGAAAAGGGGGTTAATCTACCAGTTTGGGACCTTTGTGCTTAATGTGATTGATATGAAACATAAATTACTTGTCTTTGTGGGTTTGCAGATGGATACCAGTGAAGATTTCAAAAGCGTTTTTCTGGAAATGTTGCACAGGGAGATTTGTGTTGGCCAATCCTTACAAATTCAAGGGTAAATTGATGAATACCTCTATTTTATACGATTGGATGAATATCTGATAGGATTGGGATGTATTGAATGTTTGTTTAATGCGTTATGTGATAGGTAAATTGATGAATACCTCTATTTTATACGCTTTTGCTACATCTTTTGAATACTTATGTGTTTTGCGATTCTCTGCAATTCTAGGGTTTCGTGTTCTTCCCCAATTCTGTGAAATTTTGCTTTCTCTGTTTCTTTCGTCTACGGTTTCAAGATGGCAAATGATCCAAGATTCAAGAATACTGTATTTGTAAGTGTTTTTTGTTTATAAATTATTATGATTGTATAAATATAAAGTAGTGATTATGTGATTATGCTTTGACTTTATTATTGTTTGATTATGTATTCATTTATTATAATTAACTGATTAAAATTTTTGAAACAAGGCCACCAGTGGGAAGATCCCGATTCCCATGTCTGCAACAACTGTGACACATATTCAAAATGTGTATGGAGGAACATTGATGCAAGGAGCAAGACAGGTGTCGTATCATTTATTGGATGAGACTGAATCACGTTCTTGGTATCACTACAGCGGATCACAGTCAATACATATCCTGAAAGCGTATCATCTATTCACAATAAAGAAGGATATGTATTTGATCACCACAGAGAGGACGGAACATACTCTGCAATCGTGGGTGCAGAACAACGCAAATAATATTATCAATCCTGTAATCGGGGAGTCGACTGAATAATTCTTTGGTAATTAATTTTATAAATATTTTTAACCTATAATTTTGTTAGGTATTGGTTGTAATTGAATAGATATTTTTTTGTTTTACAAGGTTGTTGTGAGAGTGTTAAAACATCTCCATAACCAGAATCTTCAGCATGTAAATGTTACCCCGATATCGGTATTTGTTGTAGATGGCATTGGATGTCTTGGTCGCCCATGTGATAGCAAAAATCCTTCGAGGCCAGATATAGATGATTGATTCAGCAACATATTGAATTTTGTATATAGGGGACAAGCTCAGGCAGGTGCTAGTCTCCGACGTCTGATGTCAAGAGTGAGACCCCTGAATACAAAATTCAATATGTTGCTGAATCCATCAATATCTATATTTGGCCTCGAAGGATTTTTGCTGTTAGATGGGCGACCAAGACATCCAATGTCATCTACAACAAATATCAATATCGGGGTAACATTTCTATGCCGAAAATTCTGGATATGGAGATGTTTCAACCCTCTCACAACACCCCTGTAAAACAAAAACAGATATATTCAATTACAACCAATACCTAACAAAATTATAGGTTAAAATTATTTACCAAAGAATTCTTCAGTCGGCTCCCCAGTTACAGAATTGATAATATTATTTGCGTTGTTCTGCACCCATGATTGCAGAGTATGTTCCGTCATCTCTGTGGTGATCACATACATATCTTTCTTTATTGTGAATAGATGATCCGCTTTCAGGAGATGTATTGATCGTGGTCCGCTGTAGTGATACCAAGATCGTGCTTCAGTCTCATCCAATAAATGATACGACACCTGTCTTGCTCCTTGCATCAAAGTTCCTCCATACACATTTTGAATATGTGTCACAGTTGTTGCAGACATGGGAATCGGGATTTTACCAGTGCCCTTGTTTCAAAAATTATAATACATAATCAGACAATAATCACTACTTTTAGTTCTTCCAAGAATCATCTTTACGGCCTTGCAGAAAAAAAAACTCATCTATCACCAAAATTATATTACCGTTGAATTTGTGATTTTAGAGTTTCTTTGAATCACTGTATTAGCCTGTTACAATTGAATGGATTTAGATTTATATAATTTGTTTGTAATGATGATTTAAATATAAACAATTTGAATTGTCGAAAAAAACTCGGAAGTAAGAGTAAAATCCTCAAGTGTTCTTCAAATAAGATGATTTGAAGAATCACTCAATCGAAGGGGACGAAAACAAAAAGTGAAATATATAACTCATCTTAGATGTGAGCCAAAAACCACACAAAGACAAGTTCATGGTTGCCTCAGAAAGTGAAGACAACACTTTATATTCATTCCTTGACCAACAAAAAATGACTAGTCCTCCAGAAGCTTTTGGCAACTAAAAGCCTCAACTTTCAGCTGATACAACTCTATTACGAAAACTCTTAACTACTCTCGACGAAACAAGCGTTTTCACAAGTTCCGTTTCATTTTTTGGGTGAATCTCTCTTGCATAAATGTCTCTCGCAATGATGTCGGCAGCTTCAGGAAGCCGCGAGAAATAGCAATCAACCATGTCCTTGGCCACATCTTTTAAACTAGGAGGGTTCCACTGCAGAATTGGATGAAAGTCAATCATATGATCACAGTTTGAGAATATTTTTTCAAATTTTTCTCCGACTAGAAGTAAACTAGGTACCTTGGGTGCAAAGTCCTTGTCCACCAATCTTGCTCGAACGCCCTATAGATAGATATAAAAGGAGCAAAGTAATAGCAGATTAAAAGACGTTCACTCCATTGTTAACCAAAAACGACATTCACTCCATTGAACTTTGAGAATCACACACCTCAGAGAAATCACTAGAGACCCGGTTGGAAATTGCAGCAAGAGATGTACGATATTCACGAGCCAGACTCTAATCAATAGAGATTGAAATCTGCCCTCATGTATCTGGATGCACGAGTGAAATCAGGCATAGAGTATAAAAGCAATACAGGTCCAACTCCATAACCTGCTAGGGAGTGAACTCACCGATCATAAAGAAACTATCAAATTCAAAGGGGAGGCTTCTTAAAACTCTCAAGTATATGTGAACCAATTAACCATCTCCTCCTCCTCCCCCATATTCAGATCTTCAACAAAGTCAAATGTTAAAATTTCACAATCACAACAACTAAAAAGTGATCTGAACTAATCAGAAACAAGATAGGTGTCACACAATTCATGGTTTCGCTAAAATCTTCTTCATGAATCTAAGAAATAATTCAGCCTTCAAACAAAAACCAGAACACCAACATCTACTAAAACTGATTCTTTAAGTAAGAAGCAGCACATACAGTTTTATCAGTCACCACCCGAAAACAGCCCCGGCTCCCATGGTGATACCATCCATGATAGCTACCTGCACAAATATGACCAAGTGATTATCAAAAGTGACATGTAAGTAGTGATAGTGATAGGACCCTGAAAAGGAGATTTATATGCATGACATATGTATGAATCTGGTGTGCTGCATGCCTACAACTTAAGTTGTAAATTCTGTAATATGATTACACAAACACTGCTAGTATAGTATAAAGCACACTGGTTTAGAAAAGGTAAATACTCACATGTGGCTTCAAATACGTTCCTTGAATATGCATAAACTTATACAACATCTCAAAAAACTTCTTACATTCATCAACATTCCCTGCACATCATTAAAGAACATGATAGGAAAACCAACAATGCCATGTAAGTATCAAACACTTAAGGCCACAAAGAGAACTATGCTCCAAACAGGCGTGAAAATGTGCACGAAAAGTATCACAGAAAAGGGGTCTAATCACAGTGCTGCATCTCAAATCAGCCCAAGAAACAAGCAATAAATAAACAGTGAAGAAAAGGTTTGTGTACTCAAAATACAGTATTGAAGAATCTGCTCTTGTTATGTTGATGAAAATGGAAAACAATCAATCTTGAGTTGATACCTCCAACTAAATGAGGTGTAGAGAAGTAAACAAAATTGAAAAGATTGAGTTACCTTCGTTGACTAGTTGATAGAGGCTAACAGCATCTGCCCAGAACAGAAGGCCCTCCCGCTATCCTTCAAAAGGCAAAACATCAAGTATTCTTTCAAAAATAGTATTCTCAGCATATTGCAAGAAGTTAAGTAATCCGATAAACGAAAAAAAGCATGATGCCTTAAACCCGAAAACCCTGTCTCGCAAGGGAACAACATGCTACCTTCATCAAGACAAATCCAACATCCGGGCTATCCTCCCATGATTCATAGAGTCTCTTCAGTCGAGCTGCCTATAAAACCAACAACCAACACATCAAAAGATTTGAAATTTATCCGAAATAAGCAACACCATCATAACAAAAACTCTGCATCTCGCTCTGCTATTCTTTCGGCGCTCTCACAATCAGTCTCCAGTCCCACCTCCCTAGTTACTAAGCTAGTAGCACTCAGGCCCAATGGATCCGACTCACTCAGACTCTAATAGCACATAATTAATACTTTTTGCAAAAAACTCTTCAAGCATTTTTGTGACTCAAATTCAAATTGACATTTCGAACCACGCAATTGTCCAATCTCACAAACAAAGCACCCCTAGTCTCCCTATAGTTTCACGTTGATGCCTTTGTTTACAATCAACCAGTGTCTGCACAGATGGGTCACTTTTAAAGATGAATCTACCTATGTGCTTATTAGGGCCAGATATTGCTTCTTCTTTTTTCTTGCCCAAGACCTTCTTGGTTAGTCTAAACTTGGCAGTGGTATTTTTAACTTTACTGACCAAAATATCATAATATGTATCCAAAGTAATCATATTTATCCTCAACTAGTTTTCATACTTTGAAATCATTACATGATAACCTCGTCATCTATACTATTGAAAGAATTAACAGAATTATATAAAAAAATCATTAAAAATTTACAAACCCTAACACTCATGTGCAAGGTTTTAAAAATCGTTAGGCGCTAGTCGGGCGGCGGGCAGGGCCCTAACGCCTAGGCAGCTAGGCGGGGGCCTAAGCGGATTTATATAAATTTATTATATATCTTGTAAATAAGTGTCTATTTACACCTAAATATATATATATATATATACTTGTATGGATAATAAAAGAATGATAAAATGCAAAAATAGAAGTAGAAGAATACACAAATTATATACATCCAAAAAGTTCAATATTTAAAAAACAGTAAGCATATAGTCTTAATGAGGAGGATTTTGATGATAGACTAGGTCACCGCCTAACTCCAGACCGATTTTTCCAAAACGATTTGCCCAACATCGGGGCGGGCCTTCACTGCCTAGGCTAATTTTTAGAACACTGCTCATGTAAGAGGTAGATTACAATAGAAACGAATGAAAATTAGAGACGCTAATAAAGATTTACAAACCTTATTGTGCATATTTAATGGATTTGTAATTTTTTTTCTTTTAGTCAAATGGATTTGGAATTTGAAATGACAAAAGATATGATATTTCGACAATGAGGTAGGGAACAACTCTTGAATCTTTAGGTTGCACTGTGAAAGAGATCAGCTGAAAATGTGAGGCAAAAAAATTTATTTTATAAATAAAAGTGAATAATGGGTTTAATTTTAAATGTTTGATTTGTTATAGATGACCATAACAAGAGAATGATTGAATTTATTTGAATTTTTAAACAATAGGAGGGTATTGAATGAAGAGAAATAGGTATAATATACATGTATATAGATATATATATATATATATATATTTTTTCAATGTCAGTGTAGGCCCGGACCTCTTTGAGGTCAACAAATTTGACCCGCCAAGCTCAAATCCCAACCCACTTTTGCCACCGTCTTATTCCAATACCCAACCCCATCAAATTGCAGGGCGTATCGGCGGAAAAACGACGAGGACTTTCCGATAAAATTTGACTCGGGTAGATGACCGGATTTGATTTTGTTGAGTTTTTCTGGGTTTTGGGGAAGGTAGATGGGACGCCATGGAAGACAATGAGGAGATGGAGAGGTATTTGGCCGGCGTGTCCAAATGACTGATTCTCGAGGAATGCCAAGGAACTGTTTCAAGGGATCATCCGTCATCTTACCGTTTAACCGTTTAACGTTAATTCTTGTACCAGTATTATAGAATATTCTGTTCGAAACATAAGATGAAACAAAATCTATAAAGAGCCGTACTTTTAAAAGAAGTCTCATTAGCATTTATCTTAATTCTCACCTATGTCAGTGTATTTGATCAAGCATTTTCAAGTCAGTTTACAGTGGGGACATGAAATCAAGGGAAATAAAAGTGAAGTATGTATTTCACTTGAGACTTGAATGCTTCAATTCGCTAAATCGCTGAGAGAAGCCTCTGTGGATCAATAAAAGGCATGGGAAACTTCCCGCAGAACGTTCTCATCCCTGACGTTTGTTATCACTCCCATCTTCTGCACATTAGGTTAAAATTCAAAAGGCACTCGGCAATTTTCGATCACGAGGATTTGCAAGACGATGAAGAACAAGGGAAGAAAGAACTCAAGTACTCGAGAATCTCCTACTTGGAACGTGCAGCATTCTCCACTCAAGCAGAATATGCAGTTTTACCTGTTAACTACACCCAAGCTTGAAAGTTGTATGCTTATCGATTTCCCTTAACGTTATGTTGCAGATAAATTATAATATGAACGGGTTCAATAAAATAATCAGCATATTACTGTTTACGCTACCGGCCAAATCCAACACTACAGTGCCTTGAATAAAGAAAGAATGTTTGCACATCTGAATCAGCAAATTGCATAAAACTACATACGCAACCATTCATTACCAAGTGAGTTGAAATTGATTAACTACGACAGTGCTAATGCAATTAAGTTGCTACTACAGTTATAAGAGTTGATCGATCGAGATAAAAGAGTAGAATACCCATTGCTAAGTAATACAGCTATTGTTCTCATCGCCAGCGCATTCAGAGATGATTTTTAGTTCCATGCCATGCCCAGAAACCGTATCCGGTGACACTGTATTACCAAATATGAAACCACCTAACCTATATGTTAGTCAATGCAGAGTTCAGTAGTCTCAAGATCCCTTCACGTGCTATAAACACATTATTCCCAAATCAATCAGAGGCAAAAACAAGAGGTCTACGGAGCATGTTAGAGAAATTTACATCCCCGTCATCCACACATATTA